ATTAGATTTAGCGAATATTGAAACAAATGGCCGACCATAGGCGTTTAACCGTTGTGAACTGTGACGATGTGGCGACTTCCTGTTGGTCATTGTGCTAATTTGGTTTGTTACTATTCTAACCATCGATCTTAAGGTTGGACTTTTGTCGATATGGCAGTGTAAACAAAGCATATCTTGCATAGCAAGAGCATATCTTGGGCCATGCACACCTTGTCGATTCCCGGAGAGTAATCAAATCTTTAATAATAGTTACTGTCTACAGCATTGACTTCAATTAACTTCCAATATTAAAAAGAGTTGGTTGTTCAACAATTGTTCTTAAACTGAACAAAAGAATTTCTTGTTTAACTGACAATCTTGGCTCTCGCACTTGATCACAATATTCGACCCTACCGGAAACGTCTTTATGTAAAAGTACACAAGCAGAATTTCATGGCTTGTTTGCTGTAACTAACTAAGAAGTGATCGAAGTAACTGAAGTACAGAAGCGGAATTTCGTAGTTTGTTTGCTAATAATTAATAAAAATTCACCAAACTAGTCAAACTAACTAAAGTTTCATGGTTCGTTTACAACAGATAACTGAAAAATGATTAAAGCAACCGACTAAAGTACGGAAGCGGAATTTCATATTTGGTTTATCAAAACTAACTTTAAAATGATGGAAGAACTTATCTGGAAAATTTCTTAACGAATACTGCACTAGAAAATTTACTTCTACGGTATCTATTTTAATCTCTTTTCCTAAGCCCCGATTAATACAAGTATAAGTCGTGACAATGACTTCGTGGGCAGGATAGGAGAAATACCTCCATGAAGTTCTTCTATGAACCAGGATGGTCACACCGGTACTCTTGGAGTAAATCTTCCCGCAGTTTCTGGAACTCAAAATCGCTGTCCGGCAGGAACTCCTTCACTGTTTTACCTTCCAAGTAATCGAAATATGGCCACATGAGCTCGTCATCCTGGCCGTACTTGTAGCATTGAATGGTTGCACAGAACAGCTGATCCGACTCATTTGTCAGCTTGTGCGTTTGGAACCAGTTGGGAGAGATCCAGGTTACATCACCTTGGATTGCTGTGAAATTCATTAGCTCTTCTTGGGTTTCCTCGTCATCCCACGTTTTGTTGTAAACTGTAACTTTTACCGCTCCATACAGAACTTTTATCACGGCGAAGGCGTTGCCATGGTTATGGATTGGACTCTCGGATGTCGCCGGCCAAATCTCTAACACGTACGGGATTCCTGGCGAGGAGCCGCGATCGGATCCCACGGTCACTCTCAGATATTGAAAGTCGCCTCTTGCCTCCTTTTCCTTAAGCTTTTTGTTAAGGATTTTGCCCTCCGTGTTGATGCTGTAGTTGATTGCGTCGGAGAGTCTGGGATTGCTGTAGGGCCAATTTAAGGCTACGCCTGGGGAGCTAACATTTTCGTACAATTCTCGGCAAGTGGCTGGCAGGCTCGCTGACATCGTGAAGTGATTGGTAGACAGTATGTCAAGTGTTGCTTTGGAACTGTCGAGAACCAGAGGAGACCAGTTGTACGTCAGAGGGTGAGGATAAAAAGATACCTTCTTTTGCACGTCGACGAGTGATTGTAGCTTTATTTGATCAGCTTGACAAATAGAGCGATATGCTTGGGTAGCCCGATCATGCATGTTAACCTGTGACAAGGATAAGAACGTTCCACACTGTTTTGGATCTTCAAGCATTGCCAGGACTTCAATTCCTTCGACGTCTTTGATGACGATCTCTTTCGTTGTGTCTGGACGAAAGATGAATTCCCAGGGATCCGGATCTTCTTCCGTTTCTGGGAAAGGGAAGCTTTTCGTTAACAGAGTGGTTTGTTCCATGATGTATCCCTTGCCGTACTTCAGGACCCTGTCATTACGATTGAAACTGAACCAGTAGGAAACTTTTTTCCCTTCCTCTAGACCTCCACTTGGTTCAGTACGCGGTCCCAGTTCGATCTCAAAGTATGGTCTTTTAGCTTTCAAGATCGCTTCTCTTGTGCTTATTTCGACCTCGACATATCCCTCCTCGTCTGCCTCCTCATCTGTCTGCATTTTGTTAACACATATCGGTTGCAGTGCCGGCCGGATGCGGATCGCAAACGTTGTGCGCCTCTTGATGTTAGCTGAAACGACTCCTTCTCCGCTCAAAGGAAGGGGCTTACAGAATGTGGTCTTGATAGGTAGCCAGGGTACTACGGCAGACGCTGAGTCAGTTGTCTGCTGTACGGGAGCCAGTCTTCTTCGCTTCGATTCCATTTGTGTTGTTCCTCGGGCTGTGTTCTTCCTCAAACGCTGACAGTTTAACTCTGATCACTCAGACTTTAGGATTGGTTGAGATCAATGTGTTTGTGAAACGGGGCTCTTCGCACTGATATGAAATTCATATCTCTGATTATATTTATACCTGATTGACGTAAACGAAACAGTTCAAAACCCTATTCACCTTGGTCACACCCAGGGTCGCAGACAATTGAAACTGACTAGGATCCAATATTAAAGCACGTACATTGTAAAACAAATGAGAGTAAGTTGTTTCCTGTTAAAGCAAAATTTTAATTTATGCATATGTATACGTCCTAGTGATCACGTAAATTTTCGTGAAAGATATTTAGAAATATTACCTGTTTGGGCAACGAGTTCTTTCACGATGATCAATTAATCATTTGATTCCTTATTTTTGTTCACTATACTCTGCGATTCATCGTTGATTCTTCATCGCTTTTAATGCTGAGTTGAACATAATACTTTTTATTGACCTTAGTCGCATCACTGAACTGGAAATGTGTTTTTTACTCTGCAATCCAATCAGAATCCGGAATGACGGTAGCTACGTGACCCATTGTCAAAACAACGCTAATTTAAGATTCCTGCTATTATTCCTGCTGAAAAGAGAGCAGACTTGTACTTACGTAGTGCACGTTATGATTACGTATTTTGAAAGATCTCTAGAAATATCGTATCATTAACAAAAAAAATGCTCTTCACACCAAGCTCAGTTATCAGGGAGCTCTTCTTCTTATGGCTATATTCTGATTCTGTCTTGAAAACTTTGTTTCTACCATGATGAGAGCACTTAAAAAAACAATTAAACCACTGAAGCCAGTATAAATTTACCTTTGTCTACTTAACTTCTTAAGTGCTGGAATCAGGCCAGAATTCGAAATTAGCTTATTAGTTTTCAAGTCACGAAAGGTGGTTCTCTATCAAAAAAAAAAAAATCTTAAATGCACGTGCGAACCATAGTCACATCCGATTCTTTGCTGAATTAAGACTGGAATCAGACATGAAAATACGACTTATTCTATACCTTCTATGCCTTGTGTCAGTCACTAGGTGCATGAGCAGTGGTAATGGCAAAGATATGTCTTTTGGTTAACAAGTTTCTTCAGACCGTTTACTTCTCTTTGCAGAAGTTCAAATTACGAAATCGATCACGGAACCGTTGACCATGACGAGTTCAGAATATAATAGAGATCCACGCCACCGCAAACGTCTAACTGTGGTTTGAGGTTACACGTTTGACGTCCGCCCTTCAGGCGTTAGTCGATTTACAATGAAGTAAACTGGAGCG